AAATGGGAAGTGATGAATGAGAGAATGAGAGGTGAGTATTTATAGGTGAGAAAGTGAGGTTTGGTTGGTGGGTTATGAAAAAATCTTGGCCATCCATTTGAAAATGGATCAAGGGTGGATAATGAGGCTTGTGGGAGAAGCCATGTGGTGTTCCCAAGGGAGGTAGTAGGTGGAGATAAAGGAAATGCGCATGTGTGATGATGTAAGTGTGCATAACTGGAGGAAATGAAAGCGTGGAGCTTACCCTTTTTGGGCCCAACACTCGATCTCGGCATATCGGCCAGCTCGGCAGGTGCTCTCGACCCCACAACAATGCAACTCGGCACCACCACATGGTGCTCGTGTTGGAACCTATGAGGATCTCGATATGCACAAATCACGAATAAACATTCAACATAAACCTATGCGCAGCGGATCTAAAGGTTTGATGTAGAAAACTTACGGCTTAAAATTTATGTAGATCTGGCTGGCCCGAACAGATGACCGCAAATCGAATCTTCTCGGAATCGAACAAACTTGACCAATCCAGGAAGCTGGCGTCACGGCGAAGTCAACGGCGTTGACCGATCGAAAATCGGAGGGTCCACGCGCTCTCACGCGCGCATGTGAGTCCCAGCAGCAGCAAACCTCCGGTGGCGCGTGCGGGCGCGTGCGGCGTCGGCTGGCGGCGATCTCGATGGCGATCTCTTCGACTCGTCGTCCTGGTCGTCGTGGTATGGTCACTTGCTGGTTTTGGTCTCCGGTTTGGATGGAGGATAGATCTGATTAGAATCCCGTATATACCTTAAGATCTTCTACTGTATTCTCAAACAACTATCTAGATCTTGTATCAGTGGAGCACAAGAAATAGAACAACTCCTTGAAAGAGAGAGAGAGAGAGAGAGAGAGAGAGAGAGAGAGGGGCGGACGAATTTTGTAGGTTATGGGATTGTCTCTTCTCTTCCATAGGCCTAATGCTGTATATATAGAGCTACAGTAGGGACCCTAAGGAGAATAGGATAAGGGCTTCTAATATATTAATGAGCAACCCCACAATTAATATATTAATAATATTAAAGTCCACCACAATAATATTAT